AGTATCATAGGCGCAGTGAGAACATCCGATATTCCGTACCATCCCGCAAGGACCGATTCAAAATATCCCCGTCGGATCACTGAGGCCATTGCTGGGACATGCTATGATATCGACTGGACACAATCAACATATATCATACCAACCCTATACGCCCAGCCAGACGCATATATGGAGGCATTGAACACCGCCCAAACGAATCGACTCCACGAAACCGGCAGCAAAAAAAAAAAAAAAACCAACGTTTTTACTAGAAGGAAATAGTAATCAACAGAACCATCCTCAATCCAAAAAAAAAAAAATCTTGAGAAAAAAACCGTGGAGCTTTTTTTTTTGGATTCGACCAGAAGTCAAATTCCTCCCCATCAAGCATGTTCCGGGAACTGTAAGGTACGGTATCTAGTGAAGGGGTTTCACCCCAACCCACGGACAAAGCCGTGCCGCGGAGCTGAACTTTGGGGGTCCAAAGTGGTGGACCGTGAACCCGACCCTTATAACTCACTATGATACTCGTTTGATACCTCCATCTGGCTTCAGCGCTCGCTTCATCAAGGGTCACTCGGATTCTGCGTGGATGTGACCGCCCCGGCCTGGAGTGGAATGTCGGGAAGAACTCGAGATGAGCTTATAGGAGGCGGTGGTTTTATGTGGCCTCCACAGCTCCTAGACGCAGGTATTCTTTCGGTAGCGATTCAGCGCATACATGTGTGCCTATGTCATAACGGAGGCTGGGAAAAGAAACGTGCTCCATTGGCTCGGGATCTCTCCGGACAGATTCTGGGAAGTGATTTGTAGGGTTATCCTGGGCGCATGACATGGGCCACAAGGGATTTGAAATCATCACCTCCATCCCATCTCAAAGTCTCCACCCCTCATGACGATCAGCCTAATTCAGGAGTTTGTAGTGTCCCCAGATGTCCCCGGACCCAGTGAGAGCCCATCACCACCGGTCACGTTACAGCAAACTTCCGGTTCTCGCTTAACCATCACCCTCTGGGGAACACGGCGTTTTGTTCACGATCGGAATGATATAACGTGTTTGGTAGATGGGCTTCACGAAATCTTACCCCCCGGATGGGAAGGATGATAAACCGTCAATCTAAGATTGTAATACCGCGCATCCTAGTTTGAACTTTAACCTTTTGCACCCCCGCGACACCCAAAAAGTCGAGACAGCTCCTATCACGGGTACCAGCTCTTTCGAAATGGGTTACCCGCCCCGCCCGCAGATCACAAGATATCACCGCACAGATGTACCCCTGACACAACCACAATTCTTTTCATTTAAACGTGCACAGGCCATCCACCCGTCCATCTGTAACCTACATGAGAAACCGTCTTCCGAAACCAGTCTTGATTCAAGCAAACGAGATAAATAAAGGAATATAATAATCAGACAAATGGAGAAAACACCTTCGCCAACACAAGCGTGAAAAAAACCCTTTATCAAACCACCGTCATAAGAGCAACACATGAGAAAGATAGAACAGAAAAGGAAAGATACGATTAAGGAAAAGATGCAAAAGTCTCCAGAAAATGCCCATACATCCACAGAAAAAGAAAAAGAAAGGAATTCAAAATAAATCCCCCCACTCATCCAGCACGTGCACCCCCGCGCTAGTTATTTGCAAATGCCCCTCCATCGACCGTTATCTGTGCTCCACTGACGTACTTCGCCCCCTCGCTAGCAAGCCAGACCGCCGGTCCGACGACATCACTCGGGACACCTAATCTTCCGAGTGGAACCTTCTTCTCGAGTCTGCCGCGCTTCTCCATGTCTTGCAGCTCCTCTCTATTCATCTTGGTCTGCACGACTCCTGGTAGCAACGCGTTGCAGCGGACGCCGTAGGGACCCAGGGAAACAGTTGTGCTCTGCATGAGCGAAGTGATACCGGCGGCGGTGGGATTATAGTGTGCTTGGTGTCCGTTGCCCGAAAGTGCGGTCGCCGAGGAGATGAAGATTATTGAGTAGTCTGGGATTGGATCGGGGCGGGGTTCAATAGGCATGGCGTGGAACTGCTCCTTGAATTGCCGAGCACAGGCTTGGACAAAGTAGAAGTTACCGTTCAGGTTAACGTCCATATGGCGGCGGAGGAGTTCAGGGGTGACCTATTCATATTGTTATTTTTCCTGGCCATTTAAAAGGTGGATTGGGGTGGGTGCATACATCCAAGAATTCCCTATACCAACACATTCCAGCATTGCCGACGGCAACGTCCAGTCTTCCGTAAGTCTCCACCGCTCGTTTGACAATGTTGTCACTCGTTCGGGGGTCAGATATATCACCAAAGACAATTGTGCAGCCCTGCCCCATACTTCTGATCTCTACGCACAAGGATACGATCTCTTCATTGGCAGGATCGCTCTTAGTGCCCCAGTAGTGCGCGACAATGTGGGCACCTTCCTTGGCAAACCCTAGGGCAATAGCCCGGCCAATTCCCCGCGAGGCTCCGGTGATGGCACAAATCTTTCCCTCAAGCAATCGGGGTCGAAGAACCGGCTGCGAGGGGACCGTCAACATAGTGTCGCCAGTAACGGTGGATTCATCGACCTCGCTGGCGGGAACCTCAACAAGTGCTTGGGAATGATCATGTCTGTAGTCTGATTGAGGAGACGGCTGTCTGATCAGTTCAAGGACTGGGGGTTCAGCCTCAATGACGTGGACGCTATCCCGATGGCGGGATCTCTCGCGTTCACGATGCTGGCTTCGGTGGTCTCTGGGGGTTCGATGATCACGCTCATCCCTGTCACTTCGGTAAGCATCCCGGTCATCCGGGTGGCGATATTCACGGTCATGGTAATCCCTGTCCCCCGGGGAATCCGGTAGGGAGCCTTCGAGCATACCGTGTTGCGGAGGCGGAGTATCAATGGTAGCCTTGATATCCTTCTTCCTCTTTCGCGGCTTGTTGTTGTCCGTGATCTGAAGCACGATCTGTCCACCGCCATTGCCGGCAGGGTTGATGGCAATAGACGTCTTCGTCTCCTGGACCAGTCTCTCACGCTCCGAAGCTGGCTCGTTGGGTGGGGTGGGGGCTGCAGGAGGGTTGTAGCTGGAAGAGGCCCTCTGCGGGATGAGCGCGTTCGAGACGAAATCGGACGGAGTGAGGACCTCCAAAGGGTCCCCATCAGATTCCGAAGGAGGGGGTAGTGAGTGTGACCGCAGCGGCTGCCCGAGATTGCCATGCGGGGAGGTATTGGCGGTGCCCCATCTTTCCAAGAAAGCATTCCTGAGATAGTCGAAAGACATCGAGTCGTGTTTACCTTGAGATGGTCATGCGTTAGCGGGGTTGACGGATAGGTTAGGGTATAGGAAGGGGGCAAAGTAGATAAAGACTCACAGTCGGTACAGTCTGGTTGACTGCAGTGTGGATTCTTCCTCAGCCAGTCCTCACCTGAAATATATGTCAGCAAGAGATTGGTGGGGCGAGAGCAAAGTGACGAAGGGCGGCCGTTGGTGCACATATCTGAACCACCGCAACCCCCCCACCCAATCCAGATCGGCAAGGGGGGGGCGGTAGCGAATTGGGTGCAACCAGCCATGTCACAAATAGCAGGGATATTCAACGTACTCAAATCCATAAGCCACCGACCAGGCGTCATTCCCCTACCAGCGCCCCACACATTCGTCGTATCAATCGTCTTCACGAACAAACTCCTGCAAGACCAATCACATCAGTACCCCCTTAAAAAAAAAAACAGCAAACAAAAGACCAAAACACGCTGTGAGCCTCACCATTTCCCAGCGTCAGTAGCTCGAGGGTATGCTAGAGAACAAAGCCTCTCAAAGCGTTGCATGTGCTTCCATGCTGAAGTTCGGGGAGTGAACTTCAAATGGTTCAACTCCGTAGCCGCGTCCATCATAGACATAATTGGGATGGTAGAAAGTTTTCTCAATTGTTTGCCGTTACTGCCTCCCTGGTTTAGTAGATGGAGAGTGGGTGTGTGCCCGAAGACCAGTAGCAGGCTTCAACGAAAATGGATAAATATCTCCTGGGGAGCGAGGAGGGTGAAAGGTAAGCAAGGCGGATATATAACGAAAAGAAGAGAGGGAAGGAAGAAGAAGAAACAGCGCGGGATGAGTCGAAAGACAACGAGATGAGGAGTTAAAGCAAGGTCCAAGGGAGAGGCTGTGTGCGTGTGTGTTTACTTGAAGAGCTTTCCGCTTCCGTGGGCTTCCAGAAGGCAACACAGCACTTGTTCGCACTTTTTCCAGGTGAGAGCAGAGAGGAAGGGAAAGAAAAAGGAATTTCGAGGCAAAAAAAATGCACAAGCAGGGGGGGCACGGTAGATTAAAGCAGTGAGGTGATAGGACAGCGGTTTCACTTGGAACGAGGACCCACGACGCTCAGAGGCGGTGGTGAGGGGACAACGAAGAAAGGCGCAGGATGCTTGGTTCCCGTCGGTTGTTGGCAGGGATATTCTTAGACTGGGTGGGCGGGGGATGAGGGGTGGGGTTGGCTCAGAGTCGAGTTCAATGTTTCCCTTAGGCGCTGGAGCATTCGCCGGTGGCAAGAGATCAGGGTTGAGGGAGGGAGGGGGAAGAGCAATCAGCAGTGGGGAGACAAGGGGAATACGGTGGTGATGATGGTGATTACAGAGGGAGCGGGGTGGCTGTTTCTGCTGTTGTTGTGGTGCTGTTGTGGTCAACCTTCCGGTGCGGTGTTGAGATCAAACTGCCCTTGAAGCAACCCGTCATGCCTATTCCAGTCAAGCCACCCCCGCCAACGAACCACGAGAGGGCCGAAAAACAGAGGAAGACGGCAACAGGGAGACCAAAGGGAAAAAAAGACTCGGTCCCACCTTAGGGGAGGGGAGGAAAGTGAGCACGGCAGGGGCAGGAAAATCCTATTCGATCCTCGAGCCCTTGTTGTGGTTTCGGTGTTGCTCTCTGTGGTGCTGAGACACTTTGCCTGCCTCTTGCTCTTTCCCCCCCCCCCCGTCCTGGTCTCTTTCTCTTCCAGGCTATATGGAGGTGGTGGTCTACGGTACTCGAGTAGAGCAAAACAGGGCGCTGGGGAGGACCGGTTGGGGTTCAACAGGTTGAAGGGCAGAAATGTAGCATTATTCTTCACAGATGAAGAGGGGGCGGGCCCTCGGTCCACTCAACGTGGTGCACACCCCCCCTCCCTCACAAGGGCTAGATGGCTGGCTGGCGGCAGCGACCCTGGTTGGCAATCTCGACGTGTCAACAGCGGCGTTGTTTGTTCTGTGCATTCCGACGGTCCGGGTCGGTGCCACCGTGCCTAGGGCTTTGCTGCACAATACTCGTAATTGAACTGTACGGTATATCCATCCACCCCCAGCCCACCATCTCCCCCAGACTGGAGAAGCACTGAGCACGGTATGATGAAATGGGTAATCTCATGCTTCGTATCTCGTGAGCACCGGAATTTCCTATCTGCCTGGCGTAGAGCACATATGATATTATACCTTACCGGTGGTCGCACGACACAGCACTCTCCGCGCTGCTCGAGAGCTCGTATAATACACTTCAAGTGACCGTTTGTCGGACCAATCGAGACAGCAAACGTTGCAGCGAAAAAACCTCGAGTCGCCAAGCCGGCGGCTCCCGTAAGAGTGGTCCCGCATGGCCAATCAGGGCTCACCACGCACGAGATCCCTGAGCCAGTCTATCATAGGGCACAAATACGGTGGGTTTCTACCGGCAGTCTACCCTAAGTTACCGCACAATACTGCTCCTGCACAGCGCTCTTATCGGGAAGTCGCAACTGATCCATGCGTGAGGGGATACCATACCCTTATTCCTTCGTGGGGTGAGTGACGTCACAAGCTCCGACCGACATCTCGAGAGGGGATTCCAACGAGACGGACCGACGGGGAAGAGATGGGCGAATCTCTTGTTTGCGGTGCAGAAACTGCAATCCGCCCCCCCCCTTCACCCTTCCCCGGAGTGCTGGAGGAATTAAGCTCATCAATCCATCCATCCAAATCTTATCCATCGCGATGAACTTGGGAGCCTCAGCTTGGTCCGGTCCCCCCCCCCCCCCTACCCCATCATCATGTTTCCCAAGCCCTGCGGACCGCAGCCTACCCCGTTTGTCCGCTCAGAAGAATCGCGTAAAAAGCCTTCCAGTCCCCCTTCGTTTCTCACCTTTCGCCATCCCCTGGATCCCCATGTACCCCCTACCCGTAATTTCTGTATCCCACTGGTAGGCCATTGCACACGGGACATTGTAGCTATGCCCCGCGTAACTTTCAGACCGCCGCTCTTCAATTCTGCGAGTCCCTGGGCTACCACAAAGACTGATCTACAGGAGCTCTACAACTCTCCCTTCACCGGTGCCGTGACCACCCGCACTTCGCTCCTTGCGCCATTTCACCACAACCCCTCCATCCACCAACACACCCTTTTCGATTCCCCCGCAACTAGTCTCAACACGTACGGCTACTCTCCCCATCCCCTGAGCTTCTACCTCGATGCCGTGGAGTCTATAATTACGGACACCGGCAAACCGCAGACGAAGCCCTTCATTATATCCATCACCGGCACTCCCGAGGAGGTTGCCGAGGCTGTAACCGCTGTTGACGACGTCGCCCGAGTTGGTTACAATCTCCTGGTTGAGCTTAATCTGTCCTGCCCGAACATTCCCGATAAGCCGCCTCCCGCCTATTCCCTGCCGGAGTTGAACGCGTACTTGGACTTGCTGTCGGGGCTGAAGGCAACGCTTCCGATTGGACTCAAGACGCCACCCTACACCTATGATGCTCAATTCCAGGTCCTTTTATCCGCCTTGGGAGCGCACCCTTCGCTAGTATCCTTCATCACCTCAACAAATACTCTGGGATCTTCCCTACACCTTTCCCCGCAGCCCTCGCTGGCTGTATCCGGGGGCGGGCGGGCTGTGTACCGGCCGACTTTGTCGTCTCCTGCTGGGACGGGGATAGGTGGACTAGGTGGTGCCTCTATTCATTGGCTGAGTCTAGGGAATGTTAGCACCATCCGACGGATGTTGGATCGGGCCCAGGGGCTGGAGGACATAGCGATTATCGGCGTCGGCGGAGTGGGTGATGGAGATGGATGGCAGAGAATGTTGAGCGTTGGAGCAGAAGGTGTGGGGGTTGCTACAGCGCTCGGAGAGAATGGCGTCGGCGTGTTTGCGAAGATTTCGAGAGAGGATTAGCTGTACTGTACGTACCGGTATGTTTATTCGAGCACTAGAGGGTTTGTGCAGTCTGATGGGAGATATCGATAGTGTTGTTAGGGGCTTTCGCTCCCACTAAATCCCATGAACCCCCCGGCACCGGGCCTCTCAAATGGTTATACAGTGGCAAATTCCCGAGTATCTTGAAACCGCCCCTGCCAAGATTATGCTCGGGGGGCACAGTCGCATAATCGTACCTTCATAAAATCGTATGAGTACAGCATAGTTAAGTTTAGCATTAGGCCGACCCACGCCTCGATCAGGTGGGATCTAGGAAGCGGGTCTCCAAGCCTTGTCATTGACTGATGTTATGATAGCACCATCCGGCCATTCCTGCGTAAAGCCTCTAAACTGCTTCCCTAAGCTCATCGCACCTCGTGAAATCCTTAGAAGCCAAGATATATCGAGAGGCCAGTGCGCCCGTGACGTGTATGGTTGCATTCGCCAAGATAACACTCTAGAGTGCCGTAGGATCACTGCTGCACCATGTTTAAAAGCGGTTTCCCGATCCTTAGCCGCGTCAAAGGAATCACCGTACCGTAATGTCATGTCATGTAGACCTCATACTCAACCACGCCTTCCCACTAAACCCCTCCGTGTTATGAGGTGGGAGCGGTGAACGAACAAAACGGACGATGATGGTAGAGGAGAAAGGAACTTCGTTACTGTTCTCTGGAGCAAACCTCCAAGCTACATATGATACAAGACACCGAACAACACGTGACTGCTCACTCCAAACCCTCATCTCCACTAGTGCACACCACAACCAAGGATCATCACCCATCAACACAACACACCATCACATCTCCAGTTGCCCATACACTCTCAACACTCCGAAGCACCGAGCTCAGTGGACCGCGGAATATCGCCAGTAGGATAGACAAGTATTATAGAACGACCGTAGAATCCCAAAAGCGATGCCATGACCAACTCACGCTCCCTCCGAGGGTATCATGCTTGGGCTCGGGAAGAGATATAGCATCATACTCGGGCAGGTTGGCCTATTCCGGGCATAATTGCCCATGTCGATGGATCTGCCGTGATCATTGGCCCTTCGTTAACGCCCAGACAGTACGGTACTCGAAGGATAGTAAAACCACCACAAGTCGGGAAGCCAAGGCGAGGTGCTGTTACTTGTACTCAGTGCAGATCTGGCACGATGCCGAGCACTGATCCAAGGAACCGGCTTGAATAGCCGCCGCCGGGATGCTCAGGCACGCTCGCTCGGCAAAACTCGCAACCGTTCGGCACCTCCCGTTGGGACGGTGAGGAGGGGGGCGTTATCGCTTCCACCCGCGCAGCGGTGGAGGTTGCGGGAATGGAAGTACCTGCACGATACAATACCACAGCACCGAGCCCGCGCCATCTGGAGAGGAGAAAGTCAGGATTACAGATTGTTTTACCATGCTTCTACCTCTGATCTCGAGTGTATAAAGAATCAGCGGTGGAATAGCGACTGTAGACTATACTTGTACTGCACCAGACTCAACCGAATCAATTAGGATAATCAAATACAATATCATACTTGTACCTCCCTTCGAAACCACCCAAGAGCACAATTATCGCGCAACCACCAATCAATGCATTCTTCTTTCTTTAGTAGAATTCCCCCAAATCACCACCGAATTTCACCGCTGTCCCATGGAGAAAGCCAAGCGTTACTTAAATTTCGGTACGATAATTATCCTCTCCCTGACAGAGCAAACATGTTTGGCTTAAACTTTCGATCCGGTTCCCGTCGGGTGGTGGGTGGGTGGGTGGCCCTTAGATAGAGTACCTGTAAATACAGTGGGCCAAAGCGCACCCCAGTCCCCAAAATCCCGATCCGGGAACTTGTCTATGTTTGCTGTATACAAGTATTCACCATCGCGGAGGTCTTCCATCATTCCGAGTATCATGGCGGAAAAATAAAGAGCGATCCAGTCTACAGTATACTGTAGTGGATGGGATCTGCAATTTTCCCTTCCCAAATCTTCACCCGTGCGTGTTTGCCTTTTCTTTTCCTTTCGCTTTTTTCTTCTTCTGGAGATTACACGGTGTGTGAGATATCCCGCTGCCGCCTCGCGTCCCCTCTGTGGCCTTTCTCTCTTTTTCTCTTCTTGCTTTCTTTCTTTCTTGGTAAAACCTCCTGGGAACGGTTGTCTGACGCTTTGTCGGATAAACTGTCGGATGGTAAAAACGCTTTGTGCCCTCCTCCTCCTCCGTCTCGCCGGCCTGATTTTGTTTGCTCCCCGCGTGTTATGGTACAGTACCGGCACCATACACCAGCCTCCATATCATACATTATTTCCAAAGTGTTTTGGTATCTGCAGGTGCTCAGGCACGATCGTGGTGCACCGGCAGACTACCGGTACCTGTCGGTGTTGTGAGCGACGGGCTGGTCACCCATGTTGAAAGGTGATGGGGGTCGGGACCGATCATGGTGACGGGGTTCTAGGGGGAAAAGAAGGGTTAGGGTGAAAATTCCTAATCTCTATCATAAATAACTACGGTATCGTATCTATAATAGCAGGAGCTCTCAGTAGGGTGCTAAGCCCTTGGTGACCCCCATCACCCCCCATCACTCCTTATTCCTGACCGTCCGTCACTGACCATGGTCAGGTTCATGACTGCACTGGTACCTGTTGCTGTCGGGGTTTGAGGGGGCTCGATTCTTGGTGTAACATGGAGGGAAATTCTGGCATGGAGCTTGAGGGAAGCAGGGATACCGCTAAGCCCAATTCTACCTTACCCGTATTGGCCCGTCGCTCCGTCATACCCGTAATATTCTCGAAATGTCTCGGGTCGCGTGTTTACAGGGCTAGGCTTTTTTAGGGCTGAGATAGGGTCGGTTTGAGGTGCTGTACCGCACAGTATGATACGTGTATCATACAGTACAGTACCGATTCCTGTACCGTGGGACTACGAGTATGAGGGGCCATCGGTTCTGGGGTGACACAACCGCAAGTTGCTAACCCCCGGCCTTGGCTCCACCAGACGGCTATGATAGAATCACCGTATGTCGCAGAGGCGTTGAATTGATAACGGAGAAGGACACCATTCCCATGCCGGCACTCACAGCAATCAATCCATGGTTTCTTCGAGCGAGCCCTCAATTCACCCCCGAGCAATCCAGATTTTTTCACGGCATTTTCTGTCCGCCAAAAGTATACTAGAGAAAGATTGTATGTTCTAAAAGTGAGAAAACAGCGCCACCATCATCATAAACCTCAGTCATCCCCCTTCGCAGCCACAGAATCGTCGACAGGAATTTCATCATTTCCTCCCCATCCTCCTGCCCCGTTCTTGGCATCGAGGGCCGAATCGCTAGCCCCCTTGGGACCCTGCTCCATCCCCTTCTGTTGAGCCACGTCCTCCCCGTCGGCCAAACGCACCTCATCGGAGAGCTCGTCCCTGGTGACCTTACGCTCAACCTCGTCCTCCATGTGCTCGGTATCGGCCCCATCGACGCATTGGGCGCATCCGCATCCGAGTCTCAGGCGATACCACATCCCGTCCATGGGGTCCTTGTACACGTTCACGAAAACCTTGCGGACCGGACACATGTAGGCGTAGATGAACTCGGCCGGGATGTAAGCCTCTCCGAAGTCGCCACCGCTTCCGGTATCGCCGGGCCCGTGGGTGTCGATGTGCGGGGAATTAATCTTGACGCAGGTACCTGCTGTTGTTATCACCGCAACCCTAAAGTTAGCATACGGCCGCAGAAGGAGCGGAAGGGAGGGCAGGGGGTTAGGGTGCGAACCATCGAGAAGATGACCGAGGTGGTGACGCATGACATGCTCGGTAAGGGTTGAGAGACAAGACATGGCCTCACTCGGGGCGAGAGGGAATGCGATGACCTGAGGGCACCAGGGGCAGTACTGAATGTTCGGGGAGGCTGATCTAGAGGGAGGTATTTCGGGCATTTCGTAGTCGTCGTTGTTCGATAGCATTTGATTTTCGGTGAAGGTGTGTTAGGAGGCGAAGATGCTGAGTGTGAGGGGCGGATCGGTGGCAGAGTAAAAGTCGCAATGAGTGGTTATCACCTACTCGCCATAGAAGGTTAAGCGTTAGAGGAAAATAGAATCGGGGGAGCGAGCGAGTGGGGGGAGGGACTTACAAAAGAGTGGACCGTAGTGTAAGATACAGGGGAGATGAGAAGAGTGAGGAGAGGAGAAAGAGAAAGAGAGAAGGAAACATGAACCAGTGTGAGAAAAAACCCCCGGTGTAAACTTGGCCATTTAAAAAGCATATATAGAAGACACATAATGACTATGATCCATAATACTAAACAAGCATACAGTATCACGAACCACCTATATAAAGCCATAGGAGTCGCCAAGTGTCCATCACCCATTCTGCAAGTCCAAGCTCAAAACAGCAAACATAATCCAAGGCACTCTTCAAGCCAGTTAAGGCCACCTTTCAATGGGGAGGGGTGCAATAGCCATGCTTCCAATCCAACATCGTCCCATGCAACTAGACTAGCAAACAAATAAACCTTACCTCAAGCTCCCCCGCAACACCCACAGCCGGGGAACATTAGACAAATAAATAAATCTCCGCGCTACACTATTAGAGGTAGCCATACACGCGGAAGACTGCGCGGGGAATACCATCAATTTCGATTGTGAATATGCAAAGTCGTCGATCCATCGGATATCCGGGAATAATCGGGAAATCTGTTTTTTTTTTTCCCCTCCCTCTCTCTCGCTCATCCGTAAGTTTTGGCTACAGTGAGGTTTCGACAAGGTCGGGATTTCAAGAATGGCTCGGAAGATGGGTAGGGTTGAAGGTGAATCAACCGGCTGTGATGCGAATGTACTCGGGGTTGTGACGGGAGAGTAGGGAGTGCTGTACTGATCAATTGAATATGGCCCCGGGCGATTGCACTGTCGGGTATGAGGGAGCGGGTATGCGGGTAGTATCAGCAATATCTTAGGGAGGGGATATACGCGGTAGCAGTTCTACGAGATCTGGGCTGGGCTGGATTGACTCTTGGTAATTCATGATTCTTGGTGCGTTAAGTAAGCTGCTTATATTGGGGTCTTGAGACTTGGGCTTGTCACCGGTGTATTCGCAATATGTTACTGCATCCCCCGCTTGGTTAACGGGGGTTTCTGGAACTTGAACGTCCAGCTATAGCTATCGGCATGGCATGCCCAATTATGTCCCCCAACTGAGATGCAATTATCCCTGTGGACTCGGATTATTCAATTGACGGCATAGAATATCATGCATAGAACGTCATGCATAGAATATCATTCGCCGTCTACAGTGCATTCTTCAGAGCTGGATGTAATTAGTATTCACAAATTCTCACACTGACATGTGGCTCAGAGCGCCGAGATTTCTATCTTTACTATGGCCATGACCATTACGCTATGATAACTTATTGGCTTCAGGTGTCATCTATAATCACTCGCATCTTCTACTGAAGCTCAGCTTGATCGCTTTGGTGAAGTGAAGGGTTTTCTATTCTCCGCAGTCTAGTTGGACTAGCAGTCCCCTAGTAATTTGTTGCGTTATCTCTCTCTCTCCCTCTCTTCTCTGACGTTTTAAGAGTGGTTCCTCCCGGACGGTGGCTCCCATAACTCCTGTCAGTACTCACTGCAATGCACTCACCCCTCGAGGGAATTAGAGCTCACATTTGCAGTATATACCTACTAATTTAGCACTAGGATGTCAAACCAGCTCGAGCAAAATTCTCCATATTCTCTAGCAACCCAGGCATGCAGCTTTGCCTGGCCGATTTCCGTGAACGAGGATTCTATGAACTTTGCGGTTATTCTGTGAGCATTACACATGTCTAAGGGCACAGCGGGTAAGGTGGCTGTCTGTCGTCTAGCAGGGAGAGGGTAGTGAAGTGGGATGCAGGGCGTGGTGTACAAGTGCTTTGATTCCTTCCGGATAATAGATAGATGGATATTTCATTTGACAGTTTCTAGGCAGCATGGCTCCGCTGGAACAAATTCTCCCAGTACCTCATCGGAAGGAAATGCTTCGCAATAGGTGACCAGGAAACTGCTGAGCCTCGTCCTCAGAGCAATGTGTATGGTGTTGCGAGGAGCAGCTCTAGAAGCAACCCCCACACCCTTCTCTTTGTCGGTATTCCCTTCTCCTCATCCTCTCCTATGATCACACTAGGTACTAACTCACTCTGCTAGATTAGATAGTCTCCGAAAGTTTTATAGCACAGCAGCGGGGGCGTTCCGGATGGCCTCCTTCCTTCCAACCTCCACAGCCTTCCGACCTGTCTTCCCCGCCACCCCGACATATTTGGCCGAAACCCACCAATCCTAACACCCATAACCTCTTTCACTACCAACCTCATAATCCGCGGTCCACCAGACAACTTCACGGCCATCCCGGGGGGGCGTGGCATCAGAAATATGGGGTGGCGGGGCGCTAGCCCCCACTCGAATCGCGGTGAGAGGCGCAGCCCGCTGCGGGAAGGTGGGAAGTGGCTGGGCTTCCGACGATGGTGTGGGCATTAGGCTCGGATTAGGGACAGATTCTTGGAGCCTGGTTCCCGCTAGAGGACAGCTGGCGGCGGGTTCGGGTCAGTTTGTTTGATCTTGTTCCCTAAGTCGCAATGGGAGAAGGGCGGGATTGAGTATTTGTATTGCCGGGTGGACCGGATTTGCTGGGCGGTGTCTGGGGGGCGTCATTGGGATACTCACTCCTGTGACTGAAGAACACTGGAGGGCTCCGGCGCCCCTAATAGTTGGGCCTTTAGAGCTTTGCGTGCTGGCGGGTTTGTAGTGTACGGAAGAGTGTCGGGGGATCCAGGAATCTCTCTGCCCCTTCATCCTTGGGTTCCCGGGAGCCGATATGCCACAGCCACTAGGGCCCCCGCCTCCACAGATGCCGATACTAATCCCTTATTCAAGCAGTGCCTTCGCCGTGCAGGCAGCAGTCACAACCGAGGAGCCGGGCACACACTGTCTCAATGTTCAACTTCCCCCGATGCTTCGGTCAAGCTTCTTGCACCGCTATCGAAGTTGCAGTCCCTCAGAACTCTCCGAAAACCAGCTGGACAGAGCACCTGAGCCGGAAGAGCCAGCCTGGAAGCATGCTCGCGATGCGGTTGGCCTGGTAGAAGCCCTCAGTGAGACGCAAGATAGGATAATGAGGGAGAAGCTAGGGGAGCGTTATGCTAAGGCTCTCAAGGTGGTTTGGTTGTGCGTTGACCGGATCCCCAGCCCGGGTTTGTCGACGAGCATGGTGACAAGGGGGTCGAGTCTAGTCAGGAAGTTGCAACGTAATCACCGCCCAAAGGGGAAGGATGGTTGCGTTGATGAAAAGATGCTGCAGATTTCCGGGTGTGTAAGGATTTCCCTGTCGTTTAGGTAAGGCAATATCATGAATACAATACCTTCTATGAGACGAAGGTCCTACTCGTAGTTAACATAAGCTAGTTTGGAGAATGGGCAAGAAAAAAAGATTGTAAGGAATCCCCAGCTCCAATCGCAGAAAAGGATCCGATAGCCATAGCAATTTCCCATTAAACCCTTTCCTCTAGAAGCGAAACAAAAGGGAATACCCTCACAAAAAATGCTCATCAAACCCCTCTAGAGTGACTCCTAATGAGCCTCTCCACCCATCATTATGCGTCCTCTGCAGAAATCATCCACCACCCGGGAACAAGTATTTATTCCCCATCCATGCAGATCTACAATGCGGAGATCACTAATTTCTCCGCAATTTTGTACCCTCCGGATGCCCACTCTCCAGCGAAAGCCAACCTCCGAATCTTAAGCTCGGGGGCCTTCTCCCCGTTCACCTAACCTACCCGATTGCAATACCATACCTGCGGAACACGAGTGACAATTTATGAATCATTCCACCCATCCTTCTCTTCCTAGTGTTCCTCTTCCCTGCCTACTAACCCAGCCTACAGGAAGCGATCACCCAGAAGTCAAGTCCAAAATTCTAAGGAATCTGAAAAGACCCCTTCCTGAAACATTAGTCGAGCCACAAGTAGTTGAAGTCGTGTCAGTTTGGAATAAGAATCTGCTCCCCCCCATCACGTAACGGTTCCCTCATGTTTTTTTTGGTTGTTCCTTAGCCTGCAAGGGTCAGTCTCTAGCATGAATACCTCCTTGCCCTCCTGCTTCCGTGACTGCAAAGAGCCAAAAAAAACACATCACGCTGCACATTTTGTTGGCGGAATGGGCGTTTCCTCATTGGTTACGGACGTTTTTGCATCCTCGTTTGCTACCATTGCCGTAGTGTTAATAGGTGGTGCTTCTGCTCCAACTTCTAGAAGTTATCAACCATGTGGTGGTGAGAGGATCCTCATGATTGGGAAAACCGCCGTGATGCTAAACCGAGACACCCGAGTCAAAGTTAGAGGGACTGCTCTGATCTCGGGTTGCCGGGGGTTGTATGATACTGCTAGGATCGTGCAGTAGCGGCTCCTAACTTTCACAGATATATCTGATCAGGCACCCCTCGTAAGAATTCCTTTCTCTTCCCCAGAAGGTTCGAGGTTCAAAACTCACAAATTCTAGGCACCGCCCTTAGCGCTATCCCTAAAGACGCAGCCACAGCAATTCAGCATCGCCAATGGACAGCTTGTGCGGCTTATTTGGACCAGCAGTACGCTCCTCCGTGCACATGTTATCCCAACACCAACTACTCCGTCACCACTCTTCTGGCCACGTGGGCTACAACCCCCGATACTTCTGGCACTTTTGCACTCGAAGGTCTGTTACGGAGCATCCCGAAGATAGCAGAGACGTTCCGGGATTAACCACCGCAAAGGGAACACCACCGGTATTTCTTACCTTACACCAGGTATACGAGAGGCAACTTGTCAATTTTGTTGGTTTATCGTGAGGGGAACCATAGTACTGGGCAAAGATTGCTGCACAGTACATTGCAGTAGGTTAACTGGTTTAGGGTGCTCGTACCGATATACCGGTATAGAGCCCGCGGGGTATAACGATCAAACAACATGTCTCAGGCTTCTCTCTTAGGTAATTTAGGTTGCGTGAGTGGTGACGATTTATCCTCTTAGACCCATCATTATGCTAGAGGCATTACAGATCTTTAATAGCCATGATGAAGTTTTTGACGTTTGCACGCCAATATCGATTGTAGGGCCCCTCCGCGCATTACTTCCTCTAGCCTATGACCTCTCAATACTAACAACCTCGTAGACTGTTGGACACAAATGTCCCATGATAACTCCGCTGGCCGCATGCGCCGGTTTTTGAAAGCTTCCCGACGGAATAAAGAGCACTGCGGATAAAATCCATGTCATAGACATCAGGCTTAGTCTCCACTCTAAGGCCGGCGGTGCCACCTGTGCTAGATACCCCAGCCCGCTCAGCCACAAAAAGGCCTGCGCCAAGACCTGCAACGACTAGAGCCCTGACTGATAGTGTTCTACCATCTAATCCGCCCTAGACAGCCCCCCCCCAACCGATACCAGACTTGAAATACCACAATAGGGCTGGCCCTGATAGCCGGGTGAACGAGTGCCAACATTGGCCAGAGAGCTAGTGCGGGATCTGGGAGAAGCAAGCTTCCGGGTTAGTGGTCTGTGCAGCCCGCATTGATTCCAACCGTTGTTACTAGCATTCTCGGGGCTGGTCCGGGGTCGTTGCGCCACCGAGATACGGCTAGCCCCGGTTGAATTCTACCAAAGAGACATACCGTACCGGTACACGGCCCCATGGGAGATGCATTGAGCAAGCGGAACTACATTACCGTATCCTCCTATTTCTGCGAGTACTCCCCCCGCAATCGGTGTATAGTTTAGTCATTCTTATACTCAATCGTTTTTCAGCCGGATGTACTAACGAACTGCAGGCCATGTCCGTGCAGAGAAATAAGAGTGATGATAGACTACCCGTCCTAGCTAGAGCCAGGAACATTGGGCGATATCGCCCCAATATGGTCCAGCGGGGGCAACAGGTTAGGTTTTGGTGTGAAGAAATTCACAACTCACAGAAATTCATCCGGGCAGCAAAGGATCCGGGAGAGCGGGGTCGGGGAGCTCGGCTGTGGTCGCAGGGACTCAGTAAGCGCATTTACTAGTGTTTCCAATTGCCTTGAGTCTTTACAGCTAACATGCGATAAAGTGCCCATCATCAACCATTGGGTCTGCTTCCATAAGTAGAGCACTGGTAACAACTTCTTTTCAAACCTCGATAAAACTGCTCTAGTAACGAATAGTTACTTACAACAGTACAGTCGCAATAGGCTCGGCATGGTAGGAGTTAGAAACGGAAACTAAAGTAATATAAGCTACTCTGAGCGCATTTGAATTTATAAATAACCCTAACCCTATGCATGAAGAAACCCGCACTCACTTCAGTCTCCGAGCCGCTCTTAAGCTGCCATTGATTCTTGGTATTCCGGCAAGCGCCTGTTAGTAACCGAATGCCAGAAGGATCGTTGCCAACATATGAAACAGTTCACTTGATCCTCAAGGACTTGGAAACCCGCATCTAACCAAGACAGTGTCTGGGGCGCGCCCATCCTCTCCTACCTACTCGAACCTAACCAACATTATACTCGAGTACAATCCACTCTCGGGCGTCAGCCCCAGAAGGAACTTGGGACCGAACGTGCCCCGCAGAACACTACTCTAGCGGACTCAAGCCCGAGAACCACGTCATGGCCAGTAGCTCTCTCGACGATCCCGCCACCAAGACCGTTGACTTTCCCAAGTACCCGGATTGAACCACAAGAAGGCATACGCTGCTAGCGACATGTGGATTCACAAAGGCTCAGAAGCCACAAGGAATACAAATTCTAGCTCAAGTCCCACGTTGTCGCTACATTGCTCATTGTCGAGAAGGACCCGAAGCACCCGTACTCCGACTCAAGAATCCGTCGGCGCCAAAGCCGAAGATCTACTCCAAGAAGCCAAAGAAGCGACCGTCGTCCGAGGACCCTAAGGATAGCCTGATGCCACTGTTGGCCTGAGAATTGGGTATTGATTGTCGTCGGTGGGGTTATCGGTAGTCTAGCTTATCAGTGGTAGTAGTGCTCCTCATTGAATTGTGATGTAGCCTAACCTTGCTGTAACATGCAGGATAGACACATCTCATCACACAACAACAAAACCCCACCTCGTAACCGTTAACTCCTAACCACTTTTTCCTTTTTCCCACCCGCTCTTGTGAGTTGTACTCGTACAAGTAAATGTGATCCGCCCTGGCCCACCTAGGCTCTCGCCATCCACATAAAGTTATTCCGCCTTCCATCCTTTTCCCCCGCTCTTTGAACTCAAGCGCAATCCCCAACGGCCAAGCCACAATCACCTCATCATATCTCTCCGCCGGCCGGAGCGAACACTACTGGTACGGTACTCAAGTACAAGTACAGTACAGTACACGAATCCCGTTCACCCCGCACCCTCCCTCCCACTGCTTTGGCAAAACCAAAAGCAAAAAAAAAAAAAAAAATGGAGAATTAAAAATATCGTAGAACAAAACCCTGATCCTTGGTTTTCCCTTCCGTCCCTTCTTCGCTACAGTACAGTACTCGTACAACCATTCGGTTTCTACCGTAGCCTTTTTAGGCTCGATTCACTCACTCTCTAAGCCCTCGATTATCTGCACGCTAGCATCCCGGCTTCTCGCTTTCCGCACTGGGGTTCTATCATACCATAGATTAGGATTTGATGATTACTTACGAATACTATACGACTATCATGCTCAAAGCTTAGTTTGTGGTATTGCTCAAGGGTCAGGGATAAAAGGACGGGAAGGCGCATGACTAAAATTCCAGTTAGCAGCGGTACGGTACGAGTACAGAACAAGTACGAGTACGTACCCCATCATACACAAGCGAAGCACAGCCCTGGGAGGATCTCTATTTCCTCCTCCTCCTCCTCTCCTGCCTCTAAAAGAGATACGGTATGGAATCAACGGATGAGCTACCTGCCCGCCGATTCAATTACAAGTATATATACAAATAAAAAATATTAAAATAAATAAATAAATAAATAAATCTTTCTTAGAGGGTTGTCGAGCAATGGCTTGCGTTTCCAGGAAATCGGTTGCGGCTTACGATATGATACCACTACGAGTAATCCCGAACAGAATTAATACGGTAATCAACTCCCCCCCCTTCCCCTTCCCCCTCTCCCGCTCCGTAGGGCTTGGCCAGACCCCTGTACTCGTACCGTACGGCATGACGCTCTCTATAGCGCCTTGCCGCTCACTTCGAGTATTACCCGTTCAAGAGATTCGTAGCCGTACCGGTGCACTGTCCGTACGTACTCGTACAGTACAACTATCTTCCAGTGCTAAGTACGGAGTAGCGGCCATCCCCCTCACCGTCGATCCCATATCCTTTTTCCGCAGCCGCTGCGGTGGATTTTATGATGCCTTCGTATGACACGAGGTGCTGTAGAGGTGACTTGTGCAGAACTTGGGTGATACTTGTAGGGCCGCAAAAAGTGGTCCCACGAATAATTGGACAGCTGACTCCAACGTGCTGTTACTTTTCCCAAACAAGGGCATGCAGTCGATCGAGGGGATCCTTCCGATAGGTTTTCCGCGGGTGGGACGGCTGTGGTACTGTACTGTTACTGGTTCGAGGAAGGTGGTGGGTAAAAGGATGGACGTGAGCTGAAAGGTACGGTACCACCTCTGTATCTTTTAACAAAAAAAAAAAAAAAGCCAGGTGTACAAGTACTAGTACAGTACAGTACAGTAAAAAAAGTGCAAATGCCAGTTTTTTTTTCTTATGAATGTGCAAGTGATGCGTTATTCCTTTGTTATGTTTTGTTTGTTTTGCACTAACTTATAGGCTAAGCTAAGTCACATACGCTCGACAGCATTTCCAGGTATCGTGCTTCCTCCCCATCGTACACATAAAACATTATATCCCATAGCCTGTATCATGCCGTCGATAAATTAGAGAAAGGAAGAAAAAAAAAAGAAAAAGAAAAAACCAAAAAATTATCATAAAGGAAAGGAAGGAAAAGAAAATAGGATAATATCTCATGAAATAAAAATGAAAATAAAATAAAAAATGCCGATTAAAATATGTTCAGGTCCGTGGATAAACTAAGAGCGATACCAGTTCTCCTTGGGATCGTCAAGGCATTCACCGACAGTGACCGCTAAAAATTGAAGAGAAAAAAAAAAATCAAAAATCAGTCCGTATCCCATAGGCAATTGCTAGATAATATACATGCCAGAGGGGGGGGGGGGCATACCTTTATATCCCTTCTTCTTAATAACCTCCAACATGTGCTTGGTCAAGCGCTTAGCAGTCAACTCGTGGATATCATGAGCGATAGCCAAAAAGCTAGTCTGAGCAGCATCACTCCCCTCAACCGTGCTGGTAAATTTTTCCTCGACCTTCTGCATGAGTTCTGGGGTGAGATTGTTGTAATCGTCGGTATCCAGGTCAAAGGAGGTGATGTGATAGCCCAACTGCTCCATCGTGCGAGGGCAGCCGGAGGCCTCGGTACAGGAGGAGAATGGAGGGCGCATGTATGTTGGGAACTTTCCAAGGATATTGCGGAGCGCCCTCTCGTTATTGTACATCTCGTCTTTGCGGGCGTTTTCATCGATCGCTGAGAGGTCTTGGTGGGTCCAACTGTTGGGTTTTTGATTATTATTTTTCTCGTCGGATCGATTTTTAAGGGTGGACGGAGGATGGAATACTTACGTATGGGAGGCAATCTGGTGGCCTTCGCTCTCCATACGTTGGATCACACCGGCCCATGGCTGGGAGGAGCTGTCAATGGCGCCTTTGCCAATGTTGTTTCCACTAAAATATCAATTAGTTTGTGAGGGATGGACAAGATAGATCAGGGGAACTCACGTAACGAAAAACGTAGCCTTTGCATCGTACTCCTTGAGCAAGTCCAAAACCCCGGCGGTATATATATATGGGCCATCATCATAGGTCAAGGCAATTGTCCCGGCTTTAGTACAGCGTTTAAATTCCGCCCCATAAGGAACACTCCCCAGCTTGGCTCTCGAAGCACTAGAAGTTGCTTCCCCACCGGGCGTATTACTCGCTGCTGCTCCACCGCATGTCTGAAGAAAATGTCAGTTAGGGGCCAACTAAGAAAGAGGTACCGTATCATGAAAGAAAACATACACCAAAGCCCGCCTGGCAACCCGTCCCACAATGATCCGCCGAGTCACCACAATTTCCGGCAGCGGAACAGCAACTGTTCCCCGGCGAAGCATCACACCTCAAACCACCATTGGCAGCACCGCACTGCCCACTGCTAGAATTCCTCCGAAAGAGTGGAGAGGCAATCGTCGCCGGGAGCAATGCCAACAACGCAACCGCAGCAGAGGCCTTCTGGAAATGCATAGCGAGTGTGTATGTGTCTTTCCAACGAGGGGATGATTTGATGGACTGTCAGATAGATTGAGATCGATGGACGGAGAGAGAGAGGAATATGCAAGTGCAGCAGACTCGATCTAAGGAAAAAGGCGCAGATGATACTGAATACTTCAACTCTGGATGAGGGGATCCGGAAGGGTCTAAATACTGCTCCCTACTGTCCCAGAATCCCATGGCCCGCAAGGCCAGGAGCGAGAGAACAAAGTCATCGAATCAGATCTACGGTTACAAAAAAAAAACCTCAATCTGGACCATCAATCTTGAATTCGCATGAGCGGGACAGGGCCGAAGTAGACAATAATCGTGCAGTAACCCTGTTTCGTAGATCCTATAACACCACCGAATGGGAATAGCCCGCTTCAGTTCCGCATAAGGAACCATGATGTGGGTGGATGGGTGGAAGGGTGGGGTACGAGGTGGTGCACCGGTAATAGTGGTTGGTGGGTTACTAAAATAGTAACGGAGTTAACTCAATTGGTCTAGCTAGCAGAAAACTAACCACTCTCGGCAATTCTAAACAAGCAGAAACCAGACAACAGCGAGAAGCGTCTGGAGGATGGCCGGAAAAAAAAATGGAAACAAGTCCCCCCAAATTCAGTTGTTTAGCTTCGTTACCCGAAAACTCAAGGATATTGAATAGCACGGCGGAGTTAGTGTTGGACAAAAATTTGTCTTGAAAATTGCCGCCTTTAGTGTCTAACTTCAACCCGGGCGCGCGGGAACAAGTCGCTGGGTAAAACTAACCTTGCAGGCCGATTGTTACCATAAAAGTATCCCGCTGCGGCAAACTAATCTCCTACGACTTGTGCTAGCAAGGGCCAACTTGAAGCGGGACATTTCGTATCTGAATTGTCACCTTAGATGTCTAACTTTCAACTCGACGGCCCGGGTACCGGTACTTCATATCGAAATTTTCACCGATGAACTACCACCAGGCATTAGATATGTACCAGTGCCATACGGTATCACCCCAAGTCATCAATTTGCCTACCAGCTATCGAAGGTAAGAAAAGAATGGGGGGGGTAAACTGCCTAATCAAAAGCCCCTCGAGACTCGAGATGCAAGCCATAGTACTCGCAAGGTATTGTAAAACGCGGCGTCGAAGTACAAGTACAGACTAGGAAATACTGACTCTTACGTGGTTGGCGAACAGCCCTGTAGATTCAATTCAGCCAAAACGGGGGACGCAAAAAAAAAAGTGAGAAGCAAGAACGGAACAGAACAGGGCAGAATGAATCCAAATCTTCTTGGCTCCTGTTCCGCCGCCAACCGCGCCTTCCTCCCCCGACGGTCCATTCAGAGGCAATCCCCATTATGTGGCGGATGTACTCGGGTGTGTCCGCAAGGGTGGCAAAACAGGGACCAGATGTATTGGGAGATGATGCTGCCTGGAAGGCTCAACCGTGTAACTAAACATCTTAAATAGCGTACATGGCGCCAAGTGAGTAGGGAGTTGTGTGAGATATGTCATGATAATGCCGAGTAGGAGACCGATACCACAGCGAACTGAAGGGAAAAGTGTAATTATAAGTAAGGAAAAGGAAGATACAACCTGCTCTAGCCTCACGAGATTCCACCATTGGTTTCACCAGATTCTGCCCCCCAGCCCCAAGAGCTTTTTTCTCTTTTTCAACTTACTACGGGTTCTTGGACTGCCCATCCATATTCGTATTTTTTTTCTAGATCTCGTTGTTCTCCGCTCGTTAACCTAGCAGAACAGGGGTATCAGTACTGATCTTTCCGATTTTTATAAACACACCCGAGTATATAGCTTCGATAGACATCAGCTCTCCACTAAAGTGGCCAAGAGCGGGCAGGGCAGTCTCGAGTTTATGATTCTGTGTGTAACGTTCGGCACGGAAAGGGCTGGGTACTATTACCTTGATTCTCCGATTCACTGCCACTCCCAGCTCGTCAGCTTTCATTGCTAGGCACTGTCGGTGCACTCGTACAGCACAGTACCCGGCTCTAGACAATTATCTGTACCAGGGCCCGTATACGATGAAGGATTCTCTTTTTCCCCTCTCCCTTCCTTCCCCTTCCTTACCATCGAATCTTCATTTCTTTTGCCAGCTTGACAGGGGGAAAAAAAAAAAAGTGCCAAGATGTCTTAACTATGGCAACCGTGACGACGAAGGCTTTCCCAAGCTGCCAAGTATGACACTTTTCTTTGTGTGAAGAACAGGTATCTGGGCACTACATCCAGCCAATCAATCAATACCGAAATGCCAGGGGAGCCGTCCAACAAGAACAAAGCCCTTCACCAGCCTGACTTTCTGTGATAACTTTAGGTGACACTCAGAAACAACCTGAATCATAGCGTCAAACTCGTTTTCCCCTTCTTCCCTCCTCCTCCTGCTCCTCTAAACAAAGCGAAAGACACCCTCCCCCAAACAATCTTGCCTTAAAACAGCACTCTAATCCGGCCATAGATAGATAGATGAGGTATAGATTCCCAAATAGTTAATTCGGAACACCCCGAACCCCTAGGGTAGTACAGTACAGCTGGTAATGCAGTCAAGCATGGAACTGGGACGGCAACTCGTGCGCGTAGGGCCTGCGACCTTTTCGTACGATGCAGACATAAATTACTGGACCGGGAAGTGGGTATGACACAGAAGTGTACGAGTACTGTACTCGTACAGTAGGCTTTTGTATGTAAATTTTGCCCAAACCCCCGCTGCACAATTTCCGCCGAGATCAAACCTCCGAGCTCAGCTCAAGAAAAGGACGAACCTAACGTATTCTATCATACCATCGGGAACAGCTACTTTTCTGAATTTCCTCCTTCCTACACTTAGATGCCAATTGAGAGCTCCAGATTTCTGGTCCTTTCGTGCGTTTTAATTGATTCACTTCCCCCTCCCGACCCTCCCCCAGTGCAACACGTTATCACCCTTTTTTCTTCTTCGGGGGCAGCACCATGCAGAGTACGACAGCTCCGGCGATTTATCGGGCTGAACCTAACGAGTGACAACGGTAGGGGAGGAAGCGATATCGTAGCGGGAAAGATGCCCAGCGCTTCAGCCTTGTAATTTGTCTCAGACCCGGGGCTCCCCTTGAACCGGTATTACTCAAATCACTTTGCTGGATCCATTCATCCTACCACCCCACCCGTCCATAGACCGATGATCCTCCTCGCTCACGACCAGCTCCTGCTGTCGTCCTCGTGGGGAGAGTTGGCCGGCCTTCGAACATCCGTGATATGGTAACCCTATCCACCCGCCAACCCATGTATGATATCCGCATCCACTCATCCATTCATCCGAACTGCAGGTCTACGATATCTCTCACAACCCCACCATCATAAGTTTATTTTTTTTACCGGGACCGTCAACTACTTCCTCTTCTTTTCCTTCCTCCTTTGCTTTGCTTTTTCTTTGCTTTTTCTTTTTTCCCCTCTTCCTCCTTCCTTTTTTCCCCCACCTCTCCAACTTATCTCTCTCCTCGGGAGGTCCTTCAGATTCCCCGCTTTTCGCTGCACGCAGTTGGCTGCACGCAGTTGGGCACGGGCTGACACACCTTATTTTTTTAATAAAAAAATAAAAAAGGTACAGCGGGACAAGCTTCATGGCGCCGCACGGGCGGAATCAATAACGACTCCTTCCCTCCTTCCTTCCTTCCATTAACCTCCTTTGCTTTGTTTTTTTCGTCCTTTTTCCCTTTCCTGCAGTACCGGTATTCATTTTTATTTGTATTTTCTTTTCATATATATACCGGTATACCTCCTTGGTAAGTGCCCGCCGCTCGCACTCGCGGGGCAACCGCTGGCGAGATCGGAATGTAAAAAACCTTGGTACCGTGGTCATCGCGTGTTGCGGGATTATCGTATTACTCGAGCACAAGTACCGTACCGTACGTACAGCACCGCACTCGAGTACTCGTACGTGCCAAAGGGAGGTGAGGGGGGGGGGGGGGCACAGCGGGACGGTAGAGTATAGACGGTCTCGGCACAGTACTCAGCTTAGTATATATGATACGATATTCACTCTCCGAAGATCAGGCATAGATAAAGATGGGGAAGGTGTTATCTTTTTTTCCGGGCATCGTTTCGATATTATCATGACGCCCCTGACTACCGTGCCACAAGTACCGTGATATATATCCACTGATCAATCCAGCCAAGGAAAAATATATGTATATGCTCTTCCGCCAACGTCTCGCTCTCGAGAGTCACCGTTTATCACTTACCGGTAGTGAATGGGCGCACCACGCTACAGCGGCCCCTTCAGCCGCGCAGGCAGAGAGCAGGCTTCCGGGCTCGTGGTCGATTGCGTGCGGAGAGGAAGGACGATCGTGAGTAACGGCACGGTAATTAATTCCCTAATGGACAGCACCCGACATGAACACGAACTCGGAACTCCAGGGATACATACGTACCGCTCTGCACGGGCATCAATACTACATCAAGTAGTCATCTAAAAAGCCTTTTTTTTTTTTTCCCCCTCCCCGCCCGGGGGGATCATCCTCAGGTTACACGACTTCGTACAATTAAATAAGAGCAATTAAGAAAAAAAAAGGAGGATATGGAAAGATAAAAGGTGGATGATACCGCTACATCATATATACATCCTGAAACGCCCGCTAAATACTCCCCCTTCCCGAAGAAAGGAAAAAAGAAGACAACATGAAAAAACCTCTCGTCCCTTGCATCTTACTTTTCTCTATTCCCCCTCTTACTCCCTTCGTTCGAGGAAACGCCGTCATAGTCCGCATCCTGGAACGTTGTGGGAAAAGCTGTGGACAGTGGCCGTGCGCTCAATTCAGCCGGTGGTCCCTCGGCGTTCAAGGCTGCGGGGGTTGGCCTGCGGGTTATTGACGGAGGATTGTACACCCCTATAGAGGAGGGCGGCGGGGAAGAAGGCACATGAGAGTATCCGGATGGCGATCTCATCGAGTTGCTATCCGAGGTGACCGATTCGGCAGGGTATGCGCCCATGACCGGAGAGGGGCCTGGGGAAGTGTATGCTGGTGGACGATAAAAACCCGTGCCCCCCATGTCAGTCTTTGGGGGATCGACCCCCGAAAAGACGTTTGTCTCGGCGGTCGCTTCTGCTCGTTGCTGACGGCGGCGGAGGAGGCAGAATATTACTCCTCCGGCTATCGCCAGGACTGCGAATCCTCCTACCGCTGAACCAACTATCACTCCGGTCGGCGTCTTTTTCTTGGTCTCCGACTCTGTTATGTTGTTAGTACTTATCGACGATCCTCCGCAGCTTAGAGACACAAGCTTTGTCTCCGCCTTCGCACGATTTGTCTTTGCTAGGGCAAAGGTTTGAGGGCTGCTCGCATAGTCGACGACAAGGTATGCTTGGGAAAGGAAGGGGGCGCCGAGGAAGGGCAGAAGTGGAGTAACTCCCGGCGCGTAGCCAGCGGTTCCCAGGGTTGCTTGGATAGATCCTGCAGTACGGTTAGATTGATTCGATGCTTCATGAATTCATCACTCGGTTTTTCACACCTGGTATTTTATCCCAATGCCCATCACCATTAATCTGAACCGCGTCATAAATCCATTCTTCACGTGGCATTGTTACCGAAAACCCCGTGTCTAGTTCGATAGTAAAGTCACCAGCAGGAAGTGGATCTGTAAAGTTATAAAAATAATATTCCCAAGTGGACCTCCAGAAGGCTGAGCTGTTACGACCCCTCAACATGGTGTCATTGAAATTTTGTTGGACTTGATAGGGCATAATCATTGACCAATATGCCGGTTCCACGCATGCCATGAATGGTTCTACAAAGATTAGCATAATCTAAGAGGTAAGGGGGGGGGGGGAAGCATACCCATCCCGGCCATCAAATCAGCAGTCCCCCACTTCATCTTACTAACTGTCACCTGTAAAGGGCAAGGTTTGCTCTTGTCCGGCGAAACGGTGAAGTTGTGCCAGTCTTCCGGCTTAGCCTTGGCTGCGTTGTAACCCCCGATAACTAGTTCACCTGCAACATCTGCAGCCGTGAGACCGTAATCGAAAGACCAAGTGGCGGAAGGCGTGACGCCCGCGTGAACGGCTGATTTGAGAAACACGGAATCGGAGGCAAGACCAATGAAGCCAGCACTTGGGGTAACATTCCGTCAGTCGAGATCACTCGGAAATTGAAAGAAAGTCAATCCCACCCAAATGGAAATTTCCCATCATCGATAATTGTCATTGGGTAACCCTCAACCTCAAGATTGTCGCCAAAGCCGATCGTGTCCCAACCTGAGCCATGTTAGTTCGGTATTGCCAAGGTAGCGAATATCAACATACCTCTCGGGAAATCAGACAGCGGATCCTTGTTATCCTCTACGGCCCGTTAGTTTTGCTAATGCCTCCCATTTCTTTTATGCACGGCTCCGCGGTATACATACTGGCATACATATCCTGGTGCAGATAATCCCATCCCGCGTTTCTTACAGATCCGTTATATGGTTCAACACCCGTATCCTTCTCCCAGGTCTTACTCTTCGCAGGCTGAAAAAGTCCTCCCCTCCAAAACACGCAACCAAACTTCCCCGGTGGCTCATCCGTCGATCCATCATTCTTGCAAACCTTGTCTCCGTCCGGGATAAAGGTAGAGTTGAGCGTCGTCCCCAGCTGCATCGCGAGTACCTGCTTGTCGGAACCTGCGCGTTGTCAGCCAGGCGCTGCCGAGGATACGTGATAATCCACGAGTGAGATGTGCATAACATACCAACCTGCCATCTGATGCTTCTATGAGCGGCCGCTCTATCGGGATAGTTCAAGATGGTAGTATTCTCCCAGGGAAGAGCGAAAGGTTGGACAGAGCCTAGACAACACCGGTTAGTTGAGAATCCTATCACCGTCCTCTTCTCCGTCTCGATCCTTTTCTCCTTCCCTCCCTCTTCTCCCTCCACCAGAAAGTCATGTCATACAATCCGAGCTCTGAGCGCCAGAAACCAATCCCCCCAGCAGAATTCCGTATCCAACCCATTTTCCCAGCACAGTGTTAAATCCACCTCGAGCCATGATTCAACGCCTGCCAGCGAGCGTATTGTACCAAACGGAATGAACCCAACGAAAGATGGTGAAGGAATTATCCGCAACCTGGTCCAGGGGATCCTGCTTTCAAGATGTGGGGGGAAAGCTGTAGAAGAATAGAAGGAGGGAAGGAGGGAAGGAAGGAAGGAAGGGGTGTGTGGTAGCCAGCAAAACCCTCGAACGGCACGTCTTCAATGGGCCCCGGCAGGTCGGCATTCAACACCTCCATTCGCCGAGCCAAAAACCTGATATGGGGAGACGTGTGGTGGAACGTGACACGGCTGAGTGAACCAAGCCTTGGTGCAGGAAAAATACTGGTAGCTGGACCAAGTGAAGCGAGGGGCTGAGGAAAAAGCACACAGCCAGCTCATTTGATTAGTGGAAATTGGCCACTTACATACATACGGTAGGATTCGCACAGCTTATCGTGAGATTTACACCGGAGCGCCCCGTTCCAGCTAGTGGGGGGCTTGCACAAAGTACCGGTTGCGGACACCGGATAACTACCGGTACTAGTACCGGTACAAGTACTCGACTTAGGGTGCTACCAAATTGCTGACACCAACCGGCGAGAATCTAGTAATCTGCCACCGAGGCTACCGTAAAGTAAGCGGGACAGAAGAAATACCGCAGGTTAAAAGCCCGCCTTCCCAGCTGTCCTCAAAGACCAGCATCCAGGGCGGGCCTCGAACTCCCTTCCAACACGCTTCCCCACATAAAATCGTCAATTGGCATCAGGAGCTGGAAGCCAAAAGGCCTTCATGGCACCGGCACCGGTAAGAGCTGGGACAGTGCGGGGCTGAGGATTTGAGACTGGCCTCCTGAGTCACTAAACTCCGCATGACAGCACTCTCCAGCTCTTGCCGTGAGCCGTCTTTGTACTCGTACCATCCGTCAGCAACGTTTCACCGGCAGTAAGCAAATCGGGAATTCCTGCCTCCCATGCATAATAGTGCATTAAAGGTCATATGGTTCGAGAAGAATAAAGGAGATCAACTTCCGCAGGCTCCCATAACGCTCCATACCGGTAACCCCATCCACATTCCGGAGGGAGTTGTTTTACTCTACGGGAGGATTTGCGGGAGAGAGGGAAGGAACCACAACTCTTTTGACCGTTCGGAAGCACTAAACCGACGATACACCGATATCGAAGACAAAGTTAACGCAAATCACTTAACCTGAAAAGAGCCACCTCTCCCAATCCAGCACTTTTTATTAAACGGTAATGAGCGTTGCGGATCCGGTGACGAAACTCCCAAGTAAGCCTTTTTTTTCAGCTCTCCCGATCCAGTGCGATATCGGCACTGCCAGATTCGCCAGCTCTGAAGAAGCAAATACTGCACTTATGTCTCCTGTCATGCCAGCCAGATCTTGCAGACGGAACCCATTTCTGTGTGCCAACCAGTGACTCGAGTAGACTACCGATGCGTGCAAAAGTACTTGTGGGTCGCTGCAGACCAACTGCGAGCCAAAAATAGCAAATTCCAACGCGCACATGCTCGAGTACATGAGTACTTGTCCTCGAGTACCGGTACTCATGGGACAGGACTACCACAGTAAGGCACCGGCACCGATTGAAATGACCCACGCCCAAAGACCCCAAGGCCAGCAGGGGTTCTGTCGGCATTCTGATGAGGTTTAAAGTACGAGTAGCACACATGTATTGTACCGGTACCTTAAACTCTCCGTTTAAACTGAGTTCAGTTCCTGTTCCGCGCGGGCGCTTAAGCTTTTCTTTTTTCTCTTCCTTTCTTTTTTCCTTCCAGTTCTTGTCTCCTGCAATCCAGGCTCGCTACCGGTATACCCCGCGTCGGTTAGGGTGCTGACCATCATGGCACGACATGCGGCATGCTGGTTGATAATACTGCGAGGGAATTACCCAAGATCCACCGCCTGCCTCTAGTAGTATCACTTAAGCCCCGACCATTGTGTATAATGGATCTCTTTATACAGGAAACCAGGTCGTTACGGACGAATCCTCTACGAGTTTACTCCCCCCTCCCATACAAACGGTTCTCGCTATAAGGGATCTCGTTCAAAACCTCTCCTTAACGAATGAAAATCCTGGACCCTTGGCACTCGCTACAGCCAGGTGCGACTCGCAGTACCCGTATTGGTGCTGTTGCAGCACAAACTTGGGTGTCCAGGAGTTGGTTGGGTGTTCCTCCACCTAAATTCGAAGGTGTCGCCAAATACCCCGGGACAGCCCTTAAGTCTTTTTGTACTTGTATCATATATTTTACCGGCAAGGGGTGCTCAGCTCGTAGGGGTAGGGCCCGAATTGGTGGATTTCCACTGCCGATCGGGCAACTTCGACTGACCAGTAACCTAATTTGCGGACCTTACCCCTGCTAGCCGAGCACCCTTGCTGGCAAAATACCGGTATTCGCACAAAACTTAGGCGCTATACCTCTGCAAAGTTAGGAGGAAACCAGGGAGGAAATGAGGCCCCAGGAACAGACATCATGCGATGCTTGTCGGGTACCTTTCTCAAATCGCACCGACTAGTAAATGGGATTTCTGTTTCGTCCTGATCAGCGAGTTCCCCAAAAACAGCGAAAGGGAGAAATTGCTGACCCCGAATACCGTCTTGGCTCCAACAACGTCGAATACAGGTGCGGGTATGGTGCCAGCACAGGAAGCACTTGCGCTGCCCAACTTGCTCAAGATAACGGTACCTTCCTCTGCAGCTATTAGCACAGTTTGTACCTCGTCCAGTCTCCAACGAGGACACGGCGAAAACCGGTGGGTTGGACGAACAAGGATTGATCACAGGTATCTTTCTTTTCTTTTGTTATGATACTCGAGTACCGGTACTCGTACAAGTACCCTGCGTTACACTACTTGTACTGTACTTTGAGGAATCGACACTTTTGTCTGCCCAACACCCCTGTTCGTCGCCCGTTTGGGACTGTATCCTCGGTGAATGCGTGGTCAGAAAAGCTCTCAGATGATTTTCTGTGCTTTGGAAAAAGAACTTGGGAGGTTTGCACCTCATGCATGATTTGTTGCAACTTCTTCGTCGACACTTACAATACCAGTGCGCCACGATACTAGTAGTAAATTTAGCCTCAAAAGCCACACTAGCGATTCAACACTAGGCAGTCTGCCATGACCTGACATCAAAGACGGTCGTTTCCGTGACAACATCCGCAGTATATGGGCCCAACAGTTTTCTTTATTCCTACCCGAATCCATTAAGGGGACGGTTCTCTTGGTAATGCCAGCGCCTAAGACTACCCCTTCTCTAGGCCCCATTCCTGTTGACTTCTTGATGGCAAGCTCCGACACCGGCGAGACTCTGTTAAAGCACGATAGGGATATTTCACCCTAGAGAGCTGTATTACCCATAGGTGCAATATTCCCAGAGATATAGGAGGTAGAGGGAAAGACACCATAACAAGTCCAAACCGCAGTTGAAATTCCCGGACCCCCATCAACCCCCCGCAACGAGTATTTGGCCATTCATAAATTATTCGGACGTTTATCGCCAATATAGATACTAACAATGTGAACGTGTCTGATCACTTTATAACCGCCGGATACAGCCCAATCAATATGACATGATCCTGGCTGCTGGCACTCCCAGCAGAACATTGGCTTAAACTCGGGGGGGGCGGGGGGGGAAATACCGTTGGCAGAGCTCATTACATGATGCTACCCCCATCACCTCCCTGTAAATTTCTTTTTCTTGGGTCTCCCAGCGAAAATCTGCATGTGGGATAGCGGAGTACGGTTCCGCAGGAGGTGTTGGAAAAAACGAATTACGGTAACCTTCCTTTGAAGAAAGGAGGATGGGACATGCAGACCCCCCCACCTTCCGTGTATGGTAAGTCTATGCTGTGGCTAAGCGACTTTTCTCTGAAAAACGCTCGATAGCTGAAGATCTTTGAGGCAAAGTCGCTGGGCCACACCTTGATCGGGAAGGCGGGGAATCTGCATGTCTCATCAGCCCAGGGGCTTATCAGCAAAGATTGTCAGCACCGTATGTTGGTGATGGCGGTTCTGGCGGGAGGTCCTGCAAGACGCCTTGGTCGGGGGAAGCTTATCACACTTGTGCCACCACCCCCGATCTCCCGAGAGTGCCCAACCGCTCACCATCATTTATCGCTGGATATCACTTTGCGGCCCGGGACAATATTGTAGCTTAACATGATAAATCAATCTGACCAAGAGAGTAATCTGTAAATAGGGCGGTAAGAATTGGAGTAGATAAGTTACCCTGAACTAATTACTCTTGGAATTTTATATAGATTTCTCCTAGACCTAGTGGTAGCAAAGGATTTTTGAATTGTGTCAAAGGCACTAGCATTCAAATGTTCTGATTAGCAGCACTATCGGTATTGTTTATATAGTTTTTCCTGCTTTTTATTTTGTCCTAGGTATATTATCGGTATAACAGAGTGAAGGACTTATGAGAGAACCTACCCGGGAAGATCTTATGTAACATCTTTACAGAGGCCGGGGATGGGTTGCCCGCTACGAGTACTGGTGGAGTGAATCTCTTTCACGATTTTGTTTTCTACTGTAGTCGTCCCCTAGCGTCCTTTCAGCGATCACCCATGGAATCACGTACAGCCACTCAGCCCCACTTAGCGCCCTTACTCGCCCCGTCTCAGCCACAATTTGGCACCTCATTTGTCCTACCGTAACCGGGGGGCACAACTTGTTCTCGGCTGAGAGGGCATACCGGTAGGGTCTAAGTTAAATCCTCAGAGGAGATCAGCATATGCCGTAATCCAGATATCTACAGTACAAGCCTCAGTAAGTTTGTGGCAACTCCATTCACCAACTGTCCCCCCAATAGTTAAGCCTCTGCACTCGCTCCACACTAAATTACCAGTAAACGACACCCCTTCGGCTGAAAATAAGTAGTGCCACGATTTAGGGCAAATGGGGTGCTAAATCTTTGGCTGAGGAGCACTAGTACAGTACCGGTACCGGTATTCCATTCTGCGTACTCGAGTATATGGCGCCCCCGATTTTCTCATTAAAAAAAATAGCCACCGTATTTACTGACTAAATCCGCCGTCGGGGTTCGGAGTTTGACCGGTGAGCAAGGGGGGTTAACGCAATCAAGCTAAGACATCGAGTGACGATAAGTGACTGGGAGATTGCTAAAACTGAGCGGGTGGTATCAGATTGAAACCGGCCTCGTATTTTGCAGATCGTAACGGATGTGAAAGTCAGAGTGCAGACCTGAAGATGGTCCACCACGAGTTATGGAGAAAAGATACGAAATCTGTAAACTGAGGCATGCTGCGTAATAGCCACGCCCATGATCCCCGATACCCGGTGGTGGATTTAGTCTGTAAATACCGTACCGGTGCCATTAGAATAGGACACTTGTCACCAATAAAAGAATGTCCCTGATCATTAAACATGGGTTATTTCGTATTGGGAGCTAAATAAATAAATAGAAAGGTAGTCATACAGCCTGCGGTAAAAAATAATAATCGGAAAATGTGAAAATGAATTCAGGGGGATTCCGGGGTTCTGATTGGAGCGTTCCATGGCTCGGGCCAATTGAGCGGCCGTGTTTCCGATCACCTTTTTTCGATTTTTTTCTTACAACAGGCTGAGTCCGGATGAGCATACCGGTAGGAGGCTTCGCGCCCAAGCCTGTCGTGTTCAATTCTGGAGGGAAGGAAGGGAACTCCTACAGTACTAGTACATTCGGGTTACATATCATGTTACTCGCTACTGCACAATGCACAGAAACTGGGTCTATCATTATCTCAGTGGTATGGTCTCCTCGATGAATGAGCAGAGGATAGAGATCACGCAGATGCCTATGGGACCAACGCCAGGATGAGGAAGAAGTATAACTTAAATAACGCGAAGGGCACATCTATCGGTGATAGATTCCGATCCCTTCTCCCTTCTTTATTCAAGAAAAGACCGGGAGAACAAATATATCAGCACAGCAAAGGAAATGTGTATCAGGCCATGCGCAGGGGGCAGCTCAAAGGACCACGGTAGCCGACCGGATGGTTTCCGATGCTCGTTAACTGATGGGTGAAGCTAGTTTGAGTACAGTACCGGTAGTGATGACATCCGTGCCTCATAACTCCTATAACGTATTGGACCGGGGGGATCGGGTCAGACGGGGAAGTGAATCATATTCCATGTGAATTTGGCTCAGATCCTCGCTGAAAACTTTTCCCGAAATCAAATCTCCGGATCCGGCAGAAAATGGGCAAATCTAACATATATTTGCTATTAGGAATAGCCTCTATACTTCTAAATTTCCTCCCTACATACTCTCGGGCGTCAATCGAGAATTTCCAGATTTCCGCTGCTTTTCTCGGTGGGTCAACTGATTCACTTCCCCGTCTGACCCGCTCCCCGGTCCGATACCTGAAACACCCTGTTCCTGCATATAGTATCTCATCTCGGTTGAAGGGTGTCTGGCGCAGTTGGGGGCTATCGATAGTGTTACCGGAGGATCTTGCCTGCACCAAGAGCCCATGAGACCTCGACAAGTGCCGCTCTTCTTAAACTGAGTGCCGTCGAGAGGCCATCCCTGGCTAACTCACGAGTACAGGAAATGGCTCTTGCTGAAATCATTCTTCAGGAGCGCAGCTATAAAATCATATCCTCAGCATTGTTGAAGCTGGCATTTAGGGCCCTCAATCCCAGGTCAAATTCCATGCCCTTTTTTTCTCGTACAGGTGGGATCAAGGAGCCAGATTGTCAAGCCAAATTAACACCACCTAGATCTCTCTGGGTAAGCTCTCTCTTTTGTTCTGGGGATTCCTAATGCTTATGGGGGATTAAATGAAGGATGCACTAGCTTCTCTCAGGGGGAATAAACATCGGCAAGGCCGATCAAGACCTAGAATTCTCCGAACACAGCCGTCCCCTTTCAATATGTGGCTAACACCGGAAAAATGGTTAATATGTCTCCATGCGGTCATTACGTCCTTCTTCAGAGCTACAAATACCACTTGTCCGTGGAGAGCACGAGACAAGGCAGGTGAGCCCAGGCGGGGCTCGAATGCATGGCTTTTTGTACAAGGCCCTTTTTGTCCTCCACCGCCGTCCCCTCTGAGGGCACCTTATTCATTTGTCCTCTCTCAAGGAACCCGCTCTATCCCGAGAGGAGAATTAAACCTAGAAACCCGTGAAGACCAAAACCGCCGGAACCATGATGTTACCCCGTTACCCCATGATCTTAGCCATGCATGTTATATTGTTTAACCCCGATATAAGCTAATCCAGCAGGGAAGGAAAAATAATGGATTTTGGACCAAATGCACTAGGGTATCCTAAGGGGTGATGGGAATTCACGACCCAGGAGTATCATCTGGCTGGGGCAAATAGGCTAAAGTGAGGGCATCTCGGCTAGAGGGCCGGAAGGGGAAAATGATAAATAGGAGAAGGAAAATCACAGGCACAGAGCACCGATTGCCAATGACAAGGCCTCTCTGTGTTCAAAGAAACACCGAAACAGTCACAACGGGAATATTAATAATAGGAAATGCTGCGAAGGGCGGGATTTGTAAGCGGTTACTGCAACTAATTTCCCGTGAATTCCCAAGGCTTTTCAGTTAGGCAACTCAAAGTGATGATAAATGTATAATAGGGGGAACACCGCGCTGTTGGAGGTTTTAGCTTACGGCGCTCCGGTTCTGTACACCTTCCCTAGCTCTCCGGTGGAGCGTCACGAGCTCCAACGTTGCCGAGCAGCGCGCCTCTGCACAGATTTCATGTTGGACGGGGAAGCGGGTCAGATGGAGAAGTGAATCAGCAAACACGCGCCGGAATTTTCAAAATCTGGAAATCTCAACTAATGTCCAACAGCAGGAGGGGGGGGTTCGGAAGGGTGGGAGATATTCTTGATTTCACAGTATCATATATCGGATGCTCCCCTTTCCGAGCTGGTTTCGTGGTTTTTGATTTACGCGAAAATTCCGCAGCGAGGGTTCGAGTAAAATTCACACACGGAACTATTCACTTCTGCGTCTGACTATCTTCCCGGTCCAATACGCTCTCTCCCACAGAGCAAAACCCGTTCGCCGCTGATGAGTAGTATTCTCTCAATAGCTTTCAGGTTGTAGGGCGAAGGGGACTGATGGCGCGAGCGATTTGCCACTAGAGGTGCGATTACCGTGCATAATTTCCATTTCGCGAGCTGGCTATCTGCGGCTACTCACCCGAGGAAATCCTCCTTCTGCTTGGATTTGCAGGTGTGAGTCGCTGCAACTTCCGTGGTTGATCTCCGCCTCTTGTTGAGATAATGGTGATATCTCATGAACCTGATTTCTCGAACAATACTGCAGCACAGGCTCCTGTTCTTTCTACTACTACCAATTCCGGGTTTATGCGATAGGCTTGCGTCATAGTGTGATACCTGAACCATAATTCGTAAATCCAAAAGAACAGACCATGTGAGTAAACTCACTACGTTTCCAGCTCATTGATGGTAGCTGTAGTGCGGAACAGCGCTCCGGTTCTAACCAACTACCTGTATCCCAGCGCGCCAATTTACCTCTGAGCTTACTTTCTCCTCCTACTAATAGGGGTCTTGGATCTTTTGGTAGATAACCTAAGTAGTATTGAGCGTTCTTGTGTCTTGTATCGTACTCCACCAAGTTTCCGGACATCTCTGATTACTACCCCCAACCACGCTCTAGATGTCTCCCCATCAGCCAATCACACTCGAGCGTCATGTAGCGGTTAATCTGTAACTTTCGCCTTCTGGTTTCTGGGGGATAGAGTTTTGACACGATCCTCTTCGACCGTAACCTTCTTTACTTTCGATTATAACGGATCCGGTTTCAGTGTTTAATCTACCTTTTACTACAACTTCAAGTGTCAGGGCGCGGGCGAGCTCACCTAGGGGAAAATGCAGCTCATAATAGGGATTTATGATATAGATCGTCTGGAAACATGGGGCAGTTTCTCGGGCAATATTACACCCATTTAGAGCGCTTTCGTCAAGAGAGTATTGTTGGATCGCTTATCGGGCATGCAGTTAGGTGGATGACCTGCGTTATATGGCATAAGCTTTAGGTTTCCTGTTAGCGTTATTACCGGTCTCCATAAGGCATCAGTCATGGGGATCTATGTTATTTCTTTCACACCCTATGCTATTGGGCATAGGTCCTTTTTTGGAGGTTGATGTCGTGGAGCACGGAAGATCATGATTTGTCAGGATGGTGTGGTTCTTCGGTGGTGTTCCTTTTGGTTTCCGGAGCTGTTATCTGTTCGGAGACATATCTCCTGTTCTATCATTAGCTATGATAGCATCCCCATTCTCTCGCCATCCTTTAGACTTCTTCTACGCCCCACTGAGCATTGAACCTATCGTGATTGCACTTTTGCTGCTTTATCCTTCGATATGAATTAGGGCCAGGAACGTAACTACCCCCCAGCAGGCCCGAAGCCCGGGAACAAAACAGCACCTGCCAAGCCGAATCCACCGAAGATATGCAAAAGCATTCTGCCGACATTGCTATACCCGTGTAAATTGAGCAGGGACTTAGCGTACGTTTGCCACCCGGCTCCTGGGCTGGCGCTTTTAAGGTGACAGGAGCTATTCGATTACCGAGAGAGTTTCCCTGCAGGGAGGTCGGTGTTTGTGAGATGCTTTTCGTTGGAAATAGCAGTTATAAAAAGGGCACCGAAGCATTGTTGCTTCCATCATGGAGTGCATCAATCTCCCATGATCGGAGAAGGAGTCCAACTATTCAAGAGAGGCCATAATTCGCTACCAACCATGGCATGCTCGCAACAGCACAATGTGCCCGCGGTACACCGCGATATTTGTATCCTGCAACTAGCCAAGTCCTTCCATCCAATATCAAGAAAAAGAGCTGCCATAGAATACCCCCCTGTATTTAGTCGCGTGGGCCATCTCGGCAGAATAAATCATCTTTCTAGAATCCTTCCCCTTCCCAACTTCCAGCTGTTCCGTAATAATAACCCACCTTCCGGATTCAGGCCCCCGGAGAGTTGATCTCTACCGGGCCTTCTTTTGCCGGAAACCAGGCTGGTGGCCTAGGGCCCTAGATGGGTTTTTCTAGACTGGGCATCGCGATAGGTTGTCTCGAACGTTCTCCTGTTGGAGTACGGGAGGGCCGTACGAATAGCATCGTATTAAACGGGGTCACGAACCCGAGATGATTGGGGGAAGTGGATAAGAGATCATAAGATATTTGGCAAGTCCACCGTAGAAATGGAGAAGTGAGGATAACTCGGAGCGGATATGATGGGACATCTACCGATTGTTTCCTGCCGGCCGGTCGCAAGGTGGCGGATGAACGGTATGGAGCTGTATCTTAAGTTAGGCGGCTGTGGAGGCGGGCTGCTTGGTTGATAGCATATGAAATCAGGCCGTCAACCATTCATTTCAATACTCTGCATCATCTCTTCCACAACCACTCCTCCACCGAACAACTCATCGGCGGCCAAATAGAATCTGGTAACTAAAATGCTGCTTTCATTCCCTCCAGAGCTCCTGCTGATAGTTGCTTCACATCTGCCTACTAAACCGCTCTCAAGATTAACCCTGGCACACCCATACCTACACGGGCTCCTAACACCGCTCCTACAAACACACGCTCTGAGGCCTAAATCAGGTCTCCCATCCCTACACTGGACAGTAAAGCATTCTCATGTCCCACTCCTGCGGTACCTCCTCACACTCTCGTCCATCCGCTCACAAATAAACACCAAAGCATATCGCTACTCCTCCTCGACAGCCCTACACTTTGCCGCAATCTCTTCAAACGAGGAAATAGTCGCATTACTACTATCCTCCGGTGCAAACCCTAGCGCTCAAGACCTGAATAGAAAAACTCCACTGCATAGAGCATGCGAGGCGAAAGCTTCAGCAGCAGTAGTCTCCATGCTTATCGATGCCGGGGCAAGCGTCAGCGCGGTGGACATATGGGGCGAAACGCCACTACACCTATCAGCAGACTTCCGGCACGAGGACGCTGTAAGGATATTGTTAGCTTCAGGAGCAGACGTTTCCTTGGGCGATATGTGCGGCCGGACAGCACTTTTCTACGCAGTCAGCAACAGATCCCTAAGAATTCTGGAATTCCTGGCTGAGGAACATGCTGCGGCCGAGGGGTTGGAGCTATTGTCTGAATTAAAGCTCCGGAAGAAGGGTGCTGTTGTTAAATTACTTTTAGAAGCTGGGGCCTTAGTTGGCGGGGGGGTAGGGGATATCCTGGAGGAGGCTGTGAGGTTGAAGGAGTTTGGTCTTTACGGGCTTTTGCTTGTGAAGGGGGGTGTCAAAGTTGGCGCTGCGGGATGCAGACCCTCTGGTACGAGGGATCAGGAGAAGGAGAGAATGCCGTTGCCAGTCCTGTCGAATTATATGAATATTTACTAGAGATAAATTTATGGGGTTGTGCAGTCTCGACGAGGATTAGGTGGTCTTTTGTGGAGAGTGATTTCTTGTGACGGTATTCATTGATGATGAAATGTTTCTAAAACAAATGGATGCAACGTTCATTCAGTTGGATACCTTATTCGAAACCCCCTTTGGGAGGGTATCATTCGAGTTCTGGCGCATTTTTGATCCCTTCCTAAACGCTGTGTATAGCAAGTGTCGTTGTGAATAGCCGTTTGTTAGGGCTTATGGAGAGACTAACCCCCCAAATATTTCCCTACTTGTTATCATAGTCAGTTCGCTCGGGAACGCCAGGATCGCTATGAGATCCCCCAAGGCCTTTTCCCGGGAAATTCACCCTTTGCTGTATCGTAGGCCCTCGATGCGAACTCTATGGATCTTGCCTAAGTTAGCTCTCATCATTATCCAATCCACATGATGAATATAGATCTTGGTCTCTTTGGTCCCCATCAGAGGGATTCAATCAAGATCATTAAGGCCCTTCTTAAAGTACCTCCGCAAAAGTGTTGGTGAAATGACCTTTTTACACCAAAAATTGGCAGGTTTGATCAACCCCCAGACCTGGAATTGCTTCAAATAATCCTCACAACCTATATAATTATTTTCACCTTAACTGCAGCTTTTACCCGACACCATTTATTTTGTCAATTTATTCTATGGGGCTAAGCTACTAGTCTCCAAAGTTGACAATACCTGTT